GCTTTTATTTCTTTCGCATTTATGTGTTGACGTGGTTTGCCTTGCGTTCTCAATTCCAGCCCAGTTTCTGTAACCTTAGCCCTGCCTGGAACAGCATCACTCGAACAGAAGTGGACAGGGAAGAAAATGTTCTGGAGAAACACCTTAGAGTTTTCTGATGAAGCATTTTACAAAAGATTGACAGCCATAAGCCTTCCTCTTGATGGAAATGCTTTCCAGTTTTAATGGCCTCGGGGGGAAAAGGGTCATTAAAGGGAGGAGATAGGAAGTGTAAGCAGAACCGTCCACTTTTCTTAGTCTTCTAACCTTAGGAAACCCTTCCCTGCTCAAAGCTTTCTGTAACTTTCTAGAAGTAAGGAGGTGGGTAGTAGAGCTATAAACATGTCAGCCAACCAAAGACTAGTGTGTCATGTCATTACAAGGCACTTAGGAAATGTCTTCCCTAAATTTTACTAATAGACCGAGGAAGCTTTCTGAGTCTCCTAAGACTCAGCCATAGGGATTCTCGGGTTCTGTTGGTTCACAGAGATTAGAAAGATTTATGTTAGTTACCACTCAGCTTCTATCAACCGCAAGCAAGAGTAGGCATTTCGCTTGGTATCTGGAACTTGCTAAATGTTAGAAGTATTGAGGTAGTTGGATGAATGAGAAACCCAACTTCCTGTCGAAAAATTCTCAAAATAGGGAGAAAAATGTAAATTCTAGTCCTGATTTGGATCCTGAAAAGACGGACTGACTTGTGCTATCATTACTTGTCTTTGGAAAACATTTTAGAAAATTAAGTGATTCAGTGGCAAAGGATAAATTAAGAGTTTGATCTTACTGCCGTAGATGTGACTAAAATCCGGTACTAACTTTCTGGTTAGTACCTGGGACGAGGCTTGCAAACAGTAGTACCTGGAGAGGGCTTGCCAGTCTAACATTTGGTGTGATAATTCGCCATCTTTTTAGAAAACACAATTCTGATAAATTTCATTCTGTGACCCACACAAAGGCGACGCTGCGATTGACCACATCATTTCTATGATTATATTTAACATGCTGTAACAGGGTTCCAGTCTCTCTTCAGAAGCCCAGATCCTTTCTTTTACTGGATTATTCTACCTTTATAAAGCGTTTTAGATAAAGCATCGTGTGCTTTGCCTGTAGAGCCTTGTGCCTGAATAAAAAATCTGGGAAGAACGAATGAATTAAATTTTTGTCCAGGTCATGCTAAATCGGAAGCATAGAACTTAAACTGAGAACAATCCATGCGGATAGATCTCATTTCCTTTTTGAATAATAGCAAATGCGTAAAGGAATGGTTGTAAGAGGCCAAGATAGGTTAAGTCCGTAGTTTTTAGAACTATAGAGTTGAAAAGGACTCCAAGGGGATTTATTTAGTGGGTGAAATGGAAGTCCTTTTGACAGATACTTCCCCTAAACTCTTTTCTGTTGCAAGTTTAAACTGTAGTATCGAAGTCTGATGGTTGTTAGTGCCTAGTATAAATAAACATTTTTTCGGTGTTCTTTTTCTAGATTTCTTGAAAATGTGCGATCAGGCTATTGTAATACTGTCAGCCTTTTAGTTGGGCAGGGTCTACTCTCATCCTCGCCCCTCCCTCCCCCCGCACTAATCATCATTCCGTGTGGACAGCAGCAATGCTTTTAGTACTTCTTCCTTGTTTGTGTTTTTTAGAGATTTGTCAATGCTGTTATACATAGTAAGAGATCTATTAAAGATCAAGAAAATCTTGACCTGTATAGCTTCAAGTCGTTTCCTTAGAAGGTTCTTTAGTGTATTCTACTTGCACATTTTACACATAGATGATTGCTATGGCAGATAGGTATAAAAGACTTACCACTTTTAGGCTTATTTATGCTCCTAATTCAGTATCTGGTGCTGAGAAATTTGACTTATAGCTTCAAAACAGTGCAAGAAAATTGATTTCGGGTCTCTCTGTTTCCGTCTTCCAGCTGGATCTAGAGACCTCTGAGTAAAAGGAGCAAATCAGATGACACCAAAAATTCCTTCTGTCGTTGAGGAATAAAGGTTGACTGACCTACCCGAAGTCGCTCCCTTGGGACCATAAGTCCTAGAGGGAAAATACTTTAATACCTTTGCTTTCCTAGAGCTAGTATAGAAAACTCGAGTTCCTGTTGATAGAATAAAGTCACTGTTTTCTGATTTCAGAATCTTTTTATATGAAAAAGTCACAGAATCTTCACATTTGACATCCCTGGAAACCTCAAGTTGTCTCTTCAACTAGGGTCTCAGTGGTAATCATACAGGTCTGCAGCCAACGTCCCACGGAGAAATGTGACAAACTTCTTTTAAAATTAGGAACAAATGTTAGAAATTCACACACCATTTTCTTTCTGTCTTGCCTTGTAGCAATTGTACTTACGGTAGAATATGTAAAATGAGCTTTCTTTTTTGGATAAAAACATCCTATGATATGCTACCCAGTGGAGGATTTTTCTTTCGTTTTTTTTAGGTTAAAGCTCAGAGGGTTTTTCTCCCTTTGGTAGTATAGAAACATTTGTCCTGTAGAAAGAATAGCTAGGAATATGGAACTCTTATAAGGCAACCCAATAATAAAACAGAAGGAATGAGTCAAACGGATGATAAATCAGAGTAATTTCTGTTGGGTAGTGGTTTCCAAGTTTTAGCACATCTTGGAATATGATTTAAGCTACTCTCTCACTAGACATTTGGAGCAAAAACTTTGGTAAACCATTTTCTTATGATACAAGACAAGCATGTTGCTATTAAGTAGTCTGAGTATTACAGAAGCTAAGTCCTCGCTTTCTTTCTGTAGATTCACAGGACCAGGGTGAGTTTCCCAAGTGGAAAATCGGCATTGGAATTACTTTCCAGCCAAGGACAGAAAGTGGAAGGGAAGCAAAACTGTAGAGCTAACAATTGTCATTTTACCAGATTTCGAATAAGAATAATTGATAAAGTGACGCACTGATTCTTTTTGCATGGCGTTCCCTTTCTGTTGTTTAAAGTCAATTTCTGGAAATAAAAATCTATACCATTTTCCTCTTGCTGAAGCTGGAAGGATAAAATAGAAAGTTCAGCAACATTAGAAAATGCTTGACCCAAAATAATCTGGAGTGTAGTGGCATTATGTACATGAACCCAATCAGCTTCCTCGTTCCCTTTAAGGAACTCATGACCGCCTAGCCAACGCATGGGGGTGTTTTCAGTACATGAGTACGCAGTGCTGCTTTTTGTAATTTCCAAAACCATTGCTGTACAATGCCGGCCTCTCTCTCAATTTGTAGACTTTAGAGGCATGTGTCTATACAGTATGCTTTAAAAATCAGGAACTTCTTTTTCCATGAAATAGTATCAATTTGATAACAAAAGCAGCTTTACTTTTATCACTTAAAATTTTGATCCTAGGGCTGTAAAAAAAAATTAAAGTGATTCATAACAAACGGAGGAGGAGGAAGTAAGATGTTGAATGATCCAGTAACTTGGCGTTAGATGATTTCCAGGACTATTTCCCAGTCAGGATAAGCTGTATATTTTCCTCTGGAAGCTCATTTCTTCATGGCACAGTGCTCTGTTAAACCGTGTTAACATCCAATGAAATGGACAGTGTACTTTTTTATACATAAGTGTTAGAATTTCAGCTACTTTAGTTGGGACAAAAAATTGTTACTGATGCAATAAACGTATCAAAGGCCAAACAGTAGCAACTATTTGGTTTCATTCTGAAAAGACCAGAAAAGAAGTAGAGGGGGAAGCTCATATCTTTTTTCCTTAGAGGAGAATCAGTCTATTGATCATTGTACTAAAATTCCCAAAGTGAGACTCTGGAATGAGTGAATGCCTTTGTATTTATTTAACTAAAGGGAAGAAGAGGAAGAAACCTGAATTTTTCTGCTCTCCAGGAAGCGAGACTAAAGAAACAGCGTTATACTTCCCACAGAAGTGTGAAATGGACTTCTTTACCTTAAAAACCCTTTCTTGCTCTCCTTGCGGCAGGAGAGGAGTAGAAAGCAGGATGAAGATTTGAGGGGCCAGTTGTCACGGTGGGAGGGAGGTGCTGTCCCCAAAAATGTTCCTGGAAAGGTTTCTTGTGTTCTTTGAGGGGGAAAGAAAAGAGAGCATGAGCGTGAAGAACTCCTTGACATTACAGGATTTTTAAAGTCACTGAAAACAGTTGCTTTCTGAATAAAGTACAAGCTGGAAGGCTACTAAAGAGATGTTGCAATTGAAAGACAAAGATGCACCATAAAGGGGCTTGCCCGCAGACAACAGTTTTCTAGCTACTTCTGAGATCCGAGCCTGTCTAATTAAAGGATTTTATTTCTCGACAGAAGCTTATGCCGGGCTCTATGAAATCTTAAAGTTTTCTTAAGGCCCAGAAGGGAATGGATGCAGGTGAAACCGCAGAGTCTGGGAGGAAACTGCTTTTCTTTGATTCTCTCATAGGGCATCATAACATTTAAGTCCGCAGTGATGGTTCAGGGTCTGAACAGGTGAGAGTTCTGGCAACGAGCCCAAGGCAGAAGCAGGAGTGAGGCGCCCGGAGGACCTGGCCCCGAGGTGGGGGACAGCCAGGCACCCGGCACTGTCATTATTCATGCTGTAAAGTTTCGGCTCTTTGCATCTTCTCAAAATTAGTCAAATGTGACTCCCGCCATGTTCTGAGTGCCCTTGTGGGAAAATACCACCCCCCTTTTCTGTCGGTTGCATATGCACGTCTTATGGGGGAACAATGACTATAAAGCAGAATTCGGGGGCTCGTTACTGAAGAATTAAAATGACCCTTCGACTTTCCCTCGAAAGCTTATCCACCCGTGATGGAGTTTTGCGGCCGTTGTAATTTGGCGATGAGCCCTAGGTGCGAAGCTCCTATTCAAAAGAGTTCATCCGACTTGACTTAAAACTCTGCCCTTCCTCCATCCTAGGAAGCGGGGAGGACAGTATTTCCAACCTCGCGTTGGGGGAAATGGCTGTTGAGAGTGGAGAAGTTTGGGTAGACACAGTCACAGTCACCCAGTTCCTGACAAGGTGTAAAATTCCCCTCTGCTGATTACACGGAGGGTCCAGGGCCTCCTTTATCACCCCTCAGCTTTTCAGCCTGAGCCCACTTCGGTTTACCAACAATAAGAAAACAAGAACATGGTTTAAAGGCAGTATTTACTGAGTGCGCCTGTGTGCCAAGCACTGTTCTAAGCACTTCAAAAGCAGCAAACCCTTGAAAGTTTACAAGCCTGGAGTGGCATGGACCACTGTTAACGCTAATTAACAAGTGACGAGTCGAATTATAGAAAGTTCATGACCTGCCTAAAGCCACATACCTAATGCCAGAAGTAGAAATCTAACCTAGACTATCTGTCTCCAGGGTCCATATTCTTAATAATTATGCCGTCCTTAACTTAAAAAACTCCACAAAAGTGTGAATTTTTGCCTCAGTGATAAAAAGAATATATGTACATAAGTCTGAAATTTCACCCAAGGATTTTATGGTATTTTATAGGTTCATTTTATTTCTGTGTACTTTATGGCCAGATAGCTGGTAGAAAATAATTTTCTAAGTCTGGAAGAGGAAGGTTTGGGTATCACCTCCTTACATGTGGTTCAGATCCTGGAAACTTGCAAGGACCACAGTTTGAGAACCACAATATTGAAGCTCAAATAAAAGTTTTTAATAAAATTTTCAGTCTAATGTGTAAAACGACCTTGGAGATAAAACCTGGAAAAGCAAATTAAATTTGAATGAGCAGATTCTTAGCTTTCAGAGATTCTAAAGGTGGCAAGCCATTTTATTTCGCATTTATCAAAAATAAGCAGTAGATACATTAATATAAAGCTTAGTACCTTTACTTAGAAAGTTAAAGTATTCCAGGTTAGTTCTGAAGACAGTGTTTTGTTGCCTTATAAAAATTTAGAAAGGAGTATTCGCCACAAAAGAAGCTCTTTTATAGGAAAGAAAAAAACCAGAAATGGTAACAACAGAAAGGGGCGTCTAACTTATACATCGAACCTTGTATGGGATAACTTATTCATTGCAATATTTTCTATAACTTGTTAAAAACTTTATTCCACCCCTCAAACACATACACAAAAGCTTTCAGAATTCTAATTCAAATTGGAAAAAGGCTGAGCAACTCAAAGCTGCCCCAAAGGAAGTAGCACAGACTATAAATGAGCTAAAAAAGTAATAAGGAAAGCAAAAATCCCTATTTAGTGGAGTATCAGGATGAAATGGGCATGCTTGCTTGGTCCCCATTTAACCCCTGATGAGGTCAAAGCCATGGCATCCTGCTCCGGGAGAATTAGAGAGACAGCATTATCTAGAAATGCAGATGTGGCCTTAGGCCGTGGAGGTAAGTGGGGGGCAGAGCGATAGACAAACGCCTTCAGGACCAGTGACAGTCACCCACTCTATTCCCACTTATCTCACTCCTGGAACCTAGCGCAGGAATCATCTTGGGATGTGGGCTCAGCATGGCTCTGCAAGCCACCAGGAATGGCATGGGGAAGAGGATGCTGACCTCACAGAGCTGAGCTTTCTTCAAGCTCAGGATCGTTCTCCGGCCCAATGCCCAGAAGGGAAACGATGTGAATAGTGTGTTTTCTTAACCCGTCACTGAGTGAGACAATTCATTTTTCTTTGCAGGATAAAAATTCGAAAGCATGCTATGTGATATGGATGTCCCAAATTGAATTAGCATCCTGGCTTCAGTGAGTTGCCAAGCAGCCAAAGCATAGGGAGCGTGCCCGTGCTCCTGTATACAAGAAGTGCCCCTTGCGGGGTGCTTCTGGGGCTGGTTTAAGAGCAGCAGTGGGCACCCCTGACGCACACTGCCGGCGAGGGGCAGAGCTGCCTCCTTGCAAGCAGGGCCTTACTGAACAGGGCGCCACCTTGGTCCACAGTCAGCACAGCATTGAAGTGAAGACCAGGGAGTGAGTCATAGGTTCAGCTGCCTATTCGTACTTCAGTGAGATTGGCCTGGGCCGTTGCCAACACTCTGGCCTGAATTGGCAGATGCCAGGAGGTGGATGTAGGTAGCACTGCCCCTGTCCCCTTATCCACAGATGGCGGTGGATGCTCGTTATGGATGTGGGGCTTTCCACCTGTGGATGTCAGAGTTCTGGGTAGGTCTTTAGTCTTGGAGGAAGAAAGAAAGAAAAAGATCTGATTTGTCACCGGAAGGAACAGTGAGTCGCCTCTGTCTAGAAGTCCAGTGACTTGAGTTCTTGGCATAGCTCTTGTCAGGACTAGCTGTGTGACAAGCCACCTATTCTCTCTGAGGCCCAGGTTACTACTCAGTGGTCAGAAGAGGAGTCCTAACAGATTGGTTGCCAAGGGCAAGGTCAGAACTAGACCTCAAGGTCGTCTAACTTGGGCAGGTTCTGTAGGGCTCAGGGAGTGTCGTGCTAGATTTCCTTTAGTGTTCAAATGAATTAACTTATGAATTCCTACACTTTCAGAAGAAATCTGTAATGTGGGCCACAGGTCTTATCTAAAATTGGATGCGCAGTGTTTTATTCTAACAGATGTGGAGAGGAAGAATGTTCTTGATTTGTGTTGTCTAATATGGTGGCCACCAGCCACACGCGGCTATTAAACTCTAAATTTCAATTAAATAAAGTAAAAATTTCAGTTCCTCGGTCACACTAGCCACATTTGAAGCGCTCAGTAGCCACGTGTGACTAGTGTCTCCTGCACTGGGCAGCACAGGCATAGAATTTCAGAAAGTCTATTGGTCAGCAATATTCTAGACCTTTGCCCAGACCACAGACTGCAGCTTCTTGTCCCTTAGTAACGGGCACAGATGGTTGTGCCCTGGGGTGCCTACGTCCATCTTTGGGGAGTAAAAGAATGGATTAAATTCCATTTGGACAAAGCAGTACAAGAAAAACCTCAGGCAAAGGGTGTTGAGAGAGATGGGGCAGGGGGCGGCTGGAGGAAGGAATGGGGAAACACGCAGACCGTTCTGTGCCTTGAGTCTTCACTAGACCTGAGCCTTGGTAGGACAAGGGCCCCCAGAGAGATTGTCACCCATGCACGGCTGACGCCAACAATGGAAAAGCGTAAGGGGAGCCAGGGCGCCCTAACCCCAGGCAGGGCCTCTGTCAGCACCTGCTGGTCCCGTGGGGCCCGCGTCACAGGAGAGAGTGTTGCTGCACAGCCCGGCAGTGGCGGGCGGAGCGGGGACAGCTGAGACCCTCCGAGAATGGATGAGGGGTAACCGCTCAGACACTGTGCCCCTTAGGCGCAGGTCTGCACGGTCAAAGCCAGCGCGTGTTTTGAGGCTGAAGCTTGGGTGTCAGGAAGACAGTGTTCGTGACACAGCGAGAAGGCTTTTCTGCAGATTTGGCACATCGGCTTCGCCGCCTCTGCCGGCCCTCCTGGCTAGGAGGCCATGTGCATGGCGGGGAAGGGAAGAAATCAGAGGCGGATGGCAGAGAGACGGTAATCTTAGCTGCTGTCTGGAAGCCACCTGTGAAGGGAGTCACCTTTCTCTTCTGGACTTACTTCCAGGCGCAGCTGCGGGGGATGACACCGAAGATGCCAGCACCGAGTTCACGGACAGCATTGAGGAGGAGGTCGCACACAGTAGCCACCAGCAAGTAAGTCCGAGTCAGGGTCTGGGGTCCCAGAGCGGACGGCTCACAGCCCTGTGAGGCTCGGTGGCCTCCTGCAGCCCGTGCGGGCCGAGAGCGAGCAGCTCGCTCTCTCTGTAAAGCGCTTCCCCGTCTCCCTGCCCTCTCTGAGCTTCCCGGCCACCTCGCCAACCTCTGTCCTCACTCCACTGCTCCCTACGACCCACCCTGCTGTTTCACTCCTGTTTCTCCCATTCCCGCTCCCGGCCCCTCCCACCCACCTTCACCCCCACGGACCGTCTATAGCTGTAGCTTCAGGAGCATTTTTACCTCCGACAAGACCATGGACCCTTCCCCTCTTCGGCTTTGTCACTGAAACACACCACAGAAGATAGGGCATCCCCGAAGGGCTGCGTGGGGAGGTGGCAGGGCCAAGGCCCTGCTCAGGAGAATGCCCTCTGGGAAAACCCAAGAGGATCGGTACTGCCACAGAAGGGCTCATTGACAGCGAAGTCTCGTTCTGCAAAAGAAAACTTTGTCGGGCAGCCTGACCAACCAGCCAGGTCACGACGTGTCAGCGACTGGCAGATGACGCTTCTAGAGCAAGCTCCTGCCGAGCCCGAGAACTTGGTACCTGAGGCTGGAACGCTGTGCCCACCAACCACCAGCGAAGGTACAACCAAGCAAGTTCTCAAGCCCAAGAGCTGAGTGTCCTGGCCCTCGGGTTAAGTCACCAAGAAGGTGACTCGCTCTCACTGGAACGCCCACGTGTCTCCACCGTGCCCAGTGATGTTTAGCAGTCACGTGTCCCAGACGGACTGTGCCTATGACCCCGAGTCGTCGACGAGAAAGTGGATTTTTGGTATTTGTCCTTCTGCAGAAGCAGCTGGACTTTCCTAGCGATAGCATCCTCGGGGCTGTTAGAACTGTAGGGGGCGTAAGGCCTCCTGGGTCTGCCTGTACGTCTTCTGCACGAGAAAAGAGGAGACATCTAATAGGCCAGCAAGAAGAGCCCAGGCGAGCGGTCTCCAAATCTCATGGTGGCCCTGGAGGACATGGGTGGGTGTCTGGAATTCCTCATGCCCTCCTCGCAGACCCTTTACCGTCCATCAAGACCCCTTTCTGTTGCCCTAGCCGAGCCCGACTCTACCTTCCGCCTTGAGTTTCTGCACGAGCTTCGCTTGTCCCTTTGCTTGGCCAGCTGCTGAGCTGTCCTAGCTGATGCTCGTAGCCTTAACTACGTACAATGCAGATCCCGCGGCCTCTCGTTTCCTGATTTCACTGAGGACTTGGATGAGCAAGAAGGACCTGCAAGGTGACCAAATATCCACCCTTAGGCAGAGCTAGATTGGGAAGTCAGCAAGTCACTGACGGTTATTGCTACCGTGGGACAGGATTAACTGCAGGATAAATGAACAGGGGACACAGACATGAAGAGAGCCGGATTCTGATTGACATGGTCTAAAGTATCCTGACGGTGCAAGTCCTTTGCTCTGAGTCTCAGTGGCAGGCCACCTGGTTAGTAAAGTCATTGATTCCTCAACCTTCTTTCTTATAGAATAGCGTAGAGAAAATGACCTGAGCGTATTTGAGAGGGTCAGTTCAACCCAGAATAAACCTTTACATCAGGGCATTTGTATTTCCCTTGCAATGTCTGCCCTATTACTTGACATAAGAAGTAATAAATTCTGGGTTCAAAAAAACTGGATTGGGGCTCGACTCATGATAGACAACATACATACCTATTGGACGAAGACTATCCTGGGTAAGCCGCATTTTGCTTTCCATCACCTTTCCTTGAGAATCAGATCTTCAGCGTTGGGTAAGAGGTGTGTGAAATCACTGTAAATTTACTTCGACTTGTCTGGAGCTTGAGGATGTCACTCTACCAATTAAATAAAGCTTGTTTTGCCGTAACTGTTTCGTGTCCAGTTCTCAAAAATGTGTTTGCTTGTTTCCAGTGAAATGGTCCCTCAGGATTAGGCTCAGAGTTCCTCCTAGTTGTGTCCTTAGAAAGTTGACTTTATTCTCGACACAAAATTCCCTTCCTTCCTCAAGCAAGAACTACCTTTTGGCCACAGCAAATTGCTTCATCCTTACTTCTGAACTCACCCACCTTAGGAAGTCTGAGGTCCGGCCATGACGGTGATTTTCCCCAGGTACCGCCCACAGAATGCCATTCTTGATGAAATGTAGGATCTGTAATAAATATCTAGAAAATTCCTATGAAAGAAACTAGAGAAATCGATCATTGCCTTCCTTCATTCGAACTTGCGCAATGCAGAAAAGTTAATCAAGAATCAAGATTCAAATCGGAGAGAAAAGTCAGCAGACAATGTGATGAACTGGAGAAAAGATCATTTTTATGCTCTTATTGCTCTCTGAGAACTAAATTTAGTGTGAGAGACGTGAAGCCATAGGGTAAAAAGAAAACAACTCTATTCAAACAAGAGTTCAGGTCTGCACACAGACCTCTGTGAGGGAAACGGAAGCCCAGCACACAACAGTTAAATTATAGCATGAATGCAATAGAACAGATGGATTAGGAAATGGAGAGAGAGAGAGAGAAAGAGAGAGAGAGAGAGAGACAGGGAGAGAGGGAACCTATGAGAGATGTAACTAACAGTTAACCTAAAGGATTCCTACTACTATCAGGCGTTTTGGAAACCCCGTGGTTTTATTTGGGGGGAAAAAGAGAAATACTAGCTTCCCATAGATGATAAAGAACAATTAATAAAAGGCTAGATCTTGAATCACTTTTCATTTACATTTAAATTTTACGTTTAAATTTTAAAGACAAGTTAGCCAAAATAAGCTTCCTTTGCCATAGAAATAGGAAAACCCAAATTAGTCTGGGAACAAATCAGATCTCAGTTTTCTCATTTTAAGGCGGGAGATTAGATCAGATGGCCATTATGGCCCTTCTGTTGTGACTATTCCATGGATATTAATTTTTTCTTTTTACAGAAAGTAAGTATATTTAAATCAACAGAAAAAGATCATATTTATCGAGAAGGCACTTTAAAAATGGGTGGAGATCATTAAAGTTAGACTTTATTTTTAAGCAGAAGGAACACTTAAGAACAAACGTACCCTTATTCAAAGCTGATGGCAATGGGTACTTAAGTTAACTGCAAAGAGTTTATATAGAAAGATAACCTCACATAGTGTAAATGAGGGGTGAGGTCATCAACTTTCAAAAGTGGTTTGATCCAGTCCCCTTCCTTTACCTAAGTGCTTCGCGGCACAGGCAGAGGTGGCCCCCAGTCTAAGCCTGGCAGCGGAGCCATAGCAACAGACGTCCGAAAGCCCCGCAAGGCTCAGGCTCACACCCTGGGTGGGACTGGATCCCTAGGAGTGAGCGACTGCTTCTCTGCATCTCCTCTGTGACACGGGTGTGCATGTCTTTGCGACCTCACCTGCTAGGCTGCTAAACGCCATTGCACGTGGCTTTGCGCAAAGCCAAGCAGCTCTATGAACTATCGATCCATTAGCATTCTTCTGGACCCTGTTCTGTTTAATATATTTGTGAGCTGCATGAAAAAATAAAGCATATAATTAACTCTACAAACTGTCCCTAATCAAGTGGCCTCTACATGATTTATGGAGGGGCACGTACATATTTTGATGACTTTGATTATTGAGAAAGGATTCTATACAGCCAGAATGAATTTATAAGTGACAAGTACAAGTCACAATGTTTCTAGAGATAAAAGATGCCAAAGAACATGGCCCAGGAATAGCTGTGGGGAGAAGTGGGAAATTGGGAGGTCAAAATTGACCTGAAGTTGGGGTAAACCCCAAAATGCTGCCACCAAGAGGAAAAGGCAACATGACATCGGGATATAAGATTAATATCGGCAGACAGGCAAATTCTCGTGCTAAAATAGTCAGTCATACACTAAGTCGATTATCACATTCAGGTTTTACCCTCTTCACGCCTAAAAGCCTGGGAGAAACTGGAGAGGAGCCTAAGATAAACAGGAAGAAAGTCTAAAAGTTGAAAATTCTCCTTTGAGGAAAAACCATACGAGCTGCTCTAGTTCGAACATTGAGAAGTAACTTCGAGAATATCCTAAAAAAAAAAAAAGTGTTAGGAACATTTTTCTGCCTTGTTTTCTTCTCACATGCTGAGATTTGTAGAGTTTGATGGCAGCCCCAGGCAAAGGGTGGTTAACCAGCAAGCTGGCTCTCGGCAGGTGGCCTCACCTTCACTTCTTGATAGTCGTGGGGTGTGATTCTCCTGCTGCCCATGAAATTGAGCGTGCCTTGTCTTACCTGCGGCTCGGCCCAATTCTCGTTCTGTGACTGTGACTCCTGATTCCTGAGTGCCCCGAGTGCCCCTTCATAATCGTCCTCTTTTAGAGTCTGAGTTAGAGGCTCCGGGGATCTTTGCACTCAAGGACTGGAGCGTCTGGAGCCGCTGAAGCTTTCTGACTTGGGAGAAGACCCCCGGGGACCTGTTTCCCCTCAGGAAGAGAAGAATCACAGCAGTCACACCCTCCAGTCCTGTTTCAACCCCGTTGCTCTGCATGCGTTTTTAAGAGCTTGTGTTTTTCCCTCACCCACCTCTGGACTGTCCTCTCCTGCCTATGACAACACTTCTCCCCACTCTGGGGTGAGTCCTCCCCGCCCAAACCTTATGGCTGAGGAAATCCTGGGAGTGAGGGAGCTTTGGATCTGCCTTTTTTATCCCCATTAAGGACTGCCGTTGCGATCTGGTGCTCCTCCCCGGTCCTCTTCACCGACCTAACTTTAAACCACGATTTTCTTTCAGCTCATCAAGGTGGCTCTGGAGAAGACTCTGGCAGCCGCGGAGCCCCAGAACGTGTCTCTCCCGCCTCCCTCGGCGACAGGAGGCGAGAGTAACAGGGCTCTCCAGGAGGAGATGCTCCACCTGAGAGCCGAGATCCACCAGCACCTGGAGGGGAAGAGGAAAGCCGAGGGGGAGCTGAAAGAGCTAAAGGCTCAACTTGAGGAAGCGGGATTCTCCTCTGTGGCCCACATCAGGTAGGACATGCCCCCCAGGGAAGGGGAGGCCCACCTAGCCGAGGGACTCCCCTCGCTGCAGCCAAGGCATTCGTGCTGCCATGGGGCTTCTTGGTCCCCATCCCAGGCTCCATGCATTTGTAGGGGTCCCCAACCTCTAGGTCGCGGACGGTTCCATCCGTACCCTGTTAGCAGGAGGTGAGTGGAGGGCGGGTGAGCAAAGCTCCATCTGTATCTGCAGCCGCTCCCCAGCGCTGGCATCACCGCCTCAGCTCCGCGTCAGATCATCGGGCATTAGATTCTCATAGGAGCACCGGTCCCTGGTGCCTAAAAGCCTGGGGACCACTGGTTTCGGCACAGCTATGCAGATGTACAACTTCTAATCCATACTCTATTGTTGCCCTGCCTATTATGTGCCCCTAAAACATCCCTGAACCATGGAATAATATTAGCACTGAAGGGGACCTTTGCTTCAGCCTAATGTCCTTGTAATTTCTTAAGTACATTCGATTACAGTTCTGATTGGTATTATTTATTTCTCCCGTGTTCCGAGCTCCCAATTTTTCATCTAATGTTTGAAAACCGACTTCTGGTCATTAATAGAACTGTAGAATCCAAAATAATAAAAAAATTCGTCCCTGGCAAGGCCCTTATTTTTTTCTTAACAGTTTAAGTACCTCTGTTTATTCCAGAGGCCACCGCAAGTTAGGGCGTGAGGCCGTGTGGCACAGGCACAGACAACTGTGCTGGCATCTTGAGTCCAAGACCTTGAGTGGCGGTGCTGCCTGCCACCAAGGATCCGTGGCCGTGTGGGCAAGTCTGCTGCTCTTCTCGAGCCTTGGTCTCCTCGTCTGTAAAGTCAGGTCTTTGTCGCGGGTCTCTGAAGTGGCGTCATGCTCGGGGGTGTCTCTGATCTGCGACGGCCTGAGATGTAGGTGAAAGGGGCTCTTGGGAACGGAGGCCAAACGCCAACCCAGCCCACGACGCCGTGTCTCCCGCAGGAACACCGTGCTGAGCCTTTGCCTCGAGAACGCGGAGCTGAAAGAGCAGATGGGAGAAGCGATGTCCGACGGATGGGAGATCGAGGAAGACAAGGAGAAGAGCGAGGCCGCGCTGGCCAAAGCGGGGCCGAACGACAGGAGCCTTCAGGCTGAGCTCAGAAAGCTCCAGGGCAAGCTGAAGAACGCCCGCAACGTCATCAGCCTCCTCAAAGAGCAGCTGGCGCTGAGCAGCCAGGAAGGACGGAGGCAGCTCAGTCCCCAGCTCCTCGTGCGCCTGGCCGGGGAGGTGGACGGGGTGAGCACAGAGCCGGGGCGCTGCCCTGGGCTGCACCAGCGCGGAGGGGAGGAGGACGCGACCGCGAGGCCCTGCCCCGGGCCCCAGGGCCTCGGCCTCGGGTGCGCCCTCGCCGCGGATGCCCACCAAGTAAGTGCGGGGTTAGACGGGGAGAAAGGCCCTGGGAGAGGGGAGGGGGTGTCAGCTTTGACCTTGGGTCAAGGGGTACCGAGGGAAGAGCAGCTCTGGGCCACAGCAGTGGGGATAATGTTCCGCACACGTGCAGCCCTTAGAAAGGCTTTGCCACCACGGTCCCGTAAATATTTCTCCAGTGGTTAGCTTTCTGTGACTATGTCCTGAGTGCTTAATTTTCCAGATGACACACTAGGTGTGGCTGCAGGCAGGAAGACCCGGTCTCTGCCCTTCGGGTACTCGATATGGAAGGGAAAGATGACACAAAAACAGATCACCTCAATAGGCTGCGATACAGGGGCGCACGGGGTTCAAGGCGGCCCAGACGGGCGGTGTGTAATGACACCCCTTCCTTATCACGGCCATTTCCGTCACAGCTCATCACAGGTGCCTGTCCCTGGGTCTCGGAAGGGATTGTCAGGATCCTCTTCAGGGAGGGGCTTTGCCGACGATTAAGTAACATGGAGAATGCAGAGGGTGCCGAGGGCGACCGGGGCGGGAGTGGAGGGAGCGATGAGTGGAGGTTTCTACCCCTTCTTTTTTCAACCATCGAACAAACCTTTACCAAGAGCCCCTCCGTGGACGGCCACTGTGCTGTGCCGCAGATGCAGAGATGAATAAAACATGATCCCAGCTCTCCAGGAGCTCCGTCTAGAAAGACGCTGCCAAACGGCATGAACAGTGCTATGACGGACACATGAGCAAAGGCCACAGGGTTCAGAAGGGGAGGTGGCTCTCGCTGCCTGGGAGATGACCTCAGACCGCCCTGATCCCTTCTCTTCTCTGTGCTGGCTCCTTTCACAGCTGAATAACCAGCCCCAGGCCTGTGTCCCTGGGCCTCAGTCAGGACTTAGCCTCCCAGTATCCACCAAGCACCTGCGCTCCCAGCTGGCTCAATGCAGACAGCGCTACCAGGATCTCCAGGAGAAGCTGCTGATATCAGAAGCCACTGTCTTTGCCCAGGCCAACCAGCTGGAGAAATACAGAGCCATGTTCAGTAAGTCTTCAGCACCCCATCGCCAAGAAGCTACATGTTCTGCACGCTTCACGTGTCTTCCCCAACCTCAAAACAAACTTAATCCTGACCGTGGTCCTAGAATTGTGAGAGTGGACATGTAACTTCGGTTTGCAAGTGGCAGAGAAGGCGAGCAGGATAAAGCAAGTCGGCAGTGAAAGTAAGGAGGAGACAGGCGACCGTCTAGGTCCGGCTGTTCCTGGTGGAGTCAGCAAACTGCCTGACCTCGTGCGACAGTAACCGACTGCTCTCTCTGCTCCTCTGCACTGCATCAGGCTCTTCAAAAACATACCGTCTTCGTTGGGCTAGAGCTGGTGCTTTCCAGTAGGAGCTCCAGCAGCGATGGAAACGTTCTCTCTATCATATGTGCTTGCGGAGCACATGAAATGTGGCTGGTTCAACCTGGGAACTTTAAGTTTTATTTAATTTCAATTCATCTAATATAAAAAAGTCACGTGTGGCTAGTAGCTGCCTTATTGGACGGTACAGATCCAGATGTACTCTAGTTCAGATATTTACTGAGCCTCTGTGGATGAAGGACTTGCTAGTTTTACAACACCTGTCTTAAAGATTTTTGTCCCAACTCAGCCTCGGTTACCTGTAGGCGAGGTGATCAGTGGCAAACACAGGCTCAGGCTAGTGGAGGAGGGACCTGCCACCTGGAGCAGGTGGTCTCTTTTACCACCTGGGTCCAAGGAGGCACCTGTCCGACTCTGGACCTGAGTTCCCTGCCCCGTAGGGCCAGCACGTGTGCCTCTGACTTCGAGGATGCAGGTGACACCCTCTGTCTCTTCCGAGCAGGCGAGTCCTTGGTGAAGCAGGACAGCAAGCAGGTCCAGGTGGACCTGCAGGACCTGGGCTATGAGACTTGTGGCCGAAGCGAGAATGAGGCTGAGCGGGAGGACAGCACCAGCCCCGGTAAGAGCGCGAGTGTGGGCGCCCTGCCCTCCCCGGAGCCCGCGTTCGCGTGCAGGTGCCTCTGGCCAGCCCCACACATGATGGGTGGGAGGGCCGAGGGCGTGCTGTAGACCCAAGGGGACATGGGACCAGAGACGGACAGGAAGTTGGGAGAAGTCTTGCCCAGAATGAGGCTAAGTGTAAATTTGAATTTCTGCAATTAGTTTTCGGCATCCTGCTGTTAAAGAAAAAAGTGTTCTAGCCAACTGATTGTTATAGAAAAAAAATAGTAAGGCTTACTTACTGATGGAAAGACCAGAGGAGCCTTTGAAAAGTTGTTTTTCTAGTATAAAAGGACGGGGACTGTGAAGACACCTACCAAACTGAAATCGAGAGGAGGACAAAATGCTCAGTGAAACAGGGTGACCGCGCATGGCCCACACGTGGCCAGCCTGAGCCGGGGCTGCACAAGACCCTGCGTGGGCTTCGCTCTCACGATCAACGTCCTCGTGGCCGACCTGCCTCCCTGGGAGGGGAGTGGCGGCGGCAGTCTGCCCGGCTTTGCTCAGGAGGGCGTCTCTGTCTTTTCGCAGAGTGTGAGGAGCGTGATGGCCTCAGGGAGACAGTCCCCATGGAGGGGCCGTGCTCTGAGCAGGGGGGCCTGGGCTCGGCACTGGCCGGTCCCCCTGGGAGGAAGCCCTTGGGCAGCCAGCTACGGAAGCAGGACGAGCTCCAGGCACGTGGGAAGTCAGACGACATCTCCGTCCTCCATAAGGACATCAGAGATCTGAAGGCCCAGCTGCAGACGGCCAACAAGGTCATTCAAAACCTCAAGAGCCGGGTCCGGTCCCTCTCGGTCACAAGCGATTATTCATCGAGTCTGGAGAGGCCCCGCAAACTAAAGGCGATTGGCACCCTCGAGGCCTCCTCGCCCCATAGCGTCACCGACGAGGACGAGGGATGGCTGTCGGATGGCACTGGGGCTTTCTACCCTCCAGGGCTGCAGGCTAAGAGGGAGCTGGAGGGTCTGATCCACAGAGTGTCTCAGCTGGAGGCCCAGCTCCCAAAGACCGGACCGGGGAACAAGCTGGCGGAGGAGCTGAGATCGGCCTCGTGGCCCGGGTACGGAGGGCGCTCTGCGGGGCCTCGCCTGGCTGTGGCGTGTGTCTCGGTTTGTGCCGGTGGTGGGGAGGCCGGGCAGTTGGGAGGAGAACCCATTAGGCACTTATTTCAGTGGGAGACCGAGGTCAGAGGAAGGACAGATGGGCAACCAGCAGGGCGTTGGATGGTGGCCCAGTCCGGGGTACCAGAGCTCTGGGAGGTCCTCCTAGGACTCTACTGGTGAAGTGATAGTATGGACAGTACGGGATTAAGTCGGGTCAGGCTGCCTGGTGTGGATCCCGGCTCTGGCACTTACTCGCTGTGTAACCTACTTCATCTTTCTGAGCCTGTTCCCGTACTTATTCAATGCGGATGATCAGAGAACCTATGTCAGAGGGTGGTTATTGGGTTTAAATGAATTCGCATAAGTGCTTTTATAATGCCTAACGTATATTAAGTTCGCAGTACCATTTGCCATAATTATTATTGTGATCGACACTTTGTGCCGAAAGACACCAGATACACATCCATCTCGGTGTCTGTCTTGATCACCTGTGCTGAGTAACGAGCCACCCGAATTTAGTGGCTTTGAACAGTAATCAATGTGGGTTGACTGGGCTCACTGAGTGGCTCTCGCTTGGGGCTCTCTGATGCGGCTGCCATCAGACGGTAGAGGGCAGGGGTCTGAAAGGTCCAGCTGGACCAGACACGTCGGTTTCTGCACCGATGCGCGTGGTGACTCTGCTCCATGGCTTCTCTTTCTCCACGTGGCTTCCTGCCTTCCAGGGCCTCTCCTCCTGGCTCGGGCATCTTGTAGGAAGGCGGGCTCAGGGTAGTTCCCTCCTACGTGGCAGCCAGCTTCCAGGGGACAGGAAATGGAATATTCCAGGCCAGTTAAGGGCTATTCCAGGATTGGGCACAGTATCGCTTCCACTGTATCATCTTGGCCAAAGCGGTCACAGAGCCCAGTCAGGTTGAAGTGGGTGGAGAAGAGCTTCTTCTACCTGCTGAGGAAAGAGCAGCAAAGCCTCACGGCAGACGCGGGATGGAACGGGGGCCGTGTAATGGCCGTCGGTGCAAATACAGTCTGCCACGGTGCAGACGGTCTTAGAAACAGATGTGCCAGGTCCTGTCCAGACCTAGGATTGAGTGATTCTACTCGCCCCAATTTTTTAATGTTTATTGGGTACCTAGTATTTATTTATACTTTATCGTACCTGCTCAATAAATATATTTAGTATTTATTGACTATCAACTGTCAGTCTCCACTGTACCGGTGCTTTAAGGGGCGTAAAATATGGCACCGTCTTTCCCCCACAGGACTTATGATTCATTTTGGGCCTATGACTAACATATATAAAACAGGGGAAGAACAGTGGCATAAATTGTTGGTTGCAATAGTTTCTCAGAGCAGACCTGAGTCTTAAATACCTCCTTTGGTCTATGTGCCAAAATGCCGCTTGGGGGCGTTCCTCAGCGATGTTCTCAGGGAAGTCCGTGTGGCAGTCCCAACAACGT